GGGGTGGCAGAGATCTGGCAACATGATAGAAGTGCCTATACCCCTAAGAAGCCATCAATGTTCACCTTTATTATAGCGAGTCTCATAAAAACTGAATTTCATCTTTTTTAAGCAATATACAAGCTTTATCATGGAAACAGAATCTTATGGTCCTGTTCTTAAATATTCTTTATTGAAATCTAACCACAACGTGATAGGGTTCCACAACTAGCAAAGGAAAGCAAGCAAAAAACCCCCAGTCATTGTCAAAGATTGTATTGTGTCCAAAGGCTCAAACGACACATCTGTAATCTACTGTTTTCTATATTCATATTAACCCTACTGGCTATGTTTCTTCCACATACCTAACTCCTAAAAAGGAATTTAGCATAGAGCTCATAGTTATGGCTTATCAAAGATTCTTCATTTTTAAGTTTGAGAATAAAATATTTTTTAACTTCAGGAAGAATATTAGGAGAGCAACCCACAACTAGAATATACGACTATGTACTGGGGGCTCTGGGGAGAAGGAAAATAAAAAAAAGAAAACTCAACCCTTTAAAAGAAAAGCAGATAAGCAGATTAAGAATCCTAAATTATTTATCCAAGTGTATGTATATATACATATACATATAGCCATGTGTCACTTAATGAGGGGGATATATTCTGAGAAATAAGTCATTAGGCAATTGCATCATTGTGCGAACATCATAGCGTGTACCTGCACAAACCTAGACGGTGTAGCCCACTATACACGTAGGTTATATGGTACTAAACTTATGGGACCACTGTCAGACATGTGGTCTGTCACTGACCAAAATGTCACCATAAGGCGAATGGACTGTATACACATATATATTATATATAAAAATATATATTTCTTACAATTTGCTGAAAATCTTTCATTTTTGAAGAGCTTTAAGTAACCTACCAGTAGTTCTAGATTCAATGTTCATAAGGACACACATACACTGTTTTGACACCAAACGTAACCCAGAAATCATTCAACTTTGTAACAATAACCACACCAGTGCGAGCTGCCAAAAAAAGGCTTTTAAAAAACATGGCCAGGGGCCGGCCCGGTGGCTTAGTGGTTAAGTTCACGTGCTCCACTTCGGCAGCCTGGGGTTCACCAGTTTAGATTCCAGGTGTGGACCCACACATTGCTTATCAAGCCGTGCTATGGCAGGCGTCCCACATATAAAATAGAGGAAGATGGGCACAGATGTTAGCTCAGGGCCAGTCTTCCTCAGCAAAAAGAGGAGGATTGGTGGTAGATGTTAGATCAGGGCTAATCTTCCTCATGAAAAAAATAAAAATAAAAAACACAGCCAAATAAAGCTAAAATGGTGGTTGGTAAATAGTTGGACAATTCTTTTTTTTTTTTTCCCTTAAAGATCTTATTTTTTTTCCTTTTTCTCCCCAAAGCCCCCTGGTACATAGTTGTATATTCTTCGTTGTGGGTCCTTCTAGTTGTGGCATGTGGGACGCTGTCTCAGCGTGGTTTGATGAGCAGTGCCATGTCCGTGCCCAGGATTTGAACCAACGAAACACTGGGCCGCCTGCAGCGGAGCGCGCGAACTTAACCACTCAGGCACGGGGCCAGCCCCTAGTTGGACAATTCTGATAAAGCACTATACAGCTATAGGGATCTGGCTTCCAAATCTTCTGAAGCGATCCTGGTTTAGAACATTCTGGCAGAATAAACAAGCTCAGATAGCATTATTCAGGCAAATAAAATAAGTGTCTAGTGAATTTCTGAGTGTCTGAATCTTTAAGAAAGGCTTTGATCCTATAAGTGGCTTTTAGCCAAAGAGTAGATACAGTAAGAACTTAGGGCCAGTATGAACCTCCTAGATACAATGAAACCACCCTAACCCACAGATACACACACAGGAACCTAGAGTACAAGTGCTACAGGCACTTAAGCAAGAGCTTTAAAAGTACATTTGCCACTCAGTCCACTCTTCACTGGGAAAAGTCTGACACCTGTGAGTTGTCCTGGTACCAAGAACTAACAAGAGCCATAAATTTGGTGTGCAACTAGTCCTATGTGTTCTTGGCTCCTTCTTTCTATAATTGTCCCTTTGCCCTTAGGATCCTGGAATTAGTAAAACGGAGGAGAGAAAGTTCATGTAAGGGTCATTCGCATCACGGTTTTGGAGAATATGTGAGGAGTAGTGAAAACCCTGGTTCATGCTCCCCTAAATTAGATAACACCTTGGCTTGATTCCATTTTCCTGTACACAGCTGGCCTGAAAAACCTCCAATCCAATGAACATTTTAGTATATCCATTTAAACTGGTGTGTTATTTCGTACAGTTTTCTCTTACAACTAAGTCTTTGGCCCTTTAAGAGTGTAACATACAGGCAGTCCGATGGAGGCTATAAGAATGGCGACTTGAAGTAAAATCAGAATGGATGTGGGGGCTGGCCCAGTGGCGCAGGGATTAAGTGCGCGCGTTCCACTTCAGCAGCCCAGGGTTTGCCGGTTCGGATCCCAGATGCGGACATGGCACCACTTGTCAAGCCATGCTGTGGTAGGCGTCCCACATATAAAGTAGAGGAAGATGGGCATGGGCGTTATCTCAGGGCCAGTCTTCCGTAGCAAAAAGAGAATTGGCAGCAGATGTTAGCTCAGGGCTAATCTTCATTAAAAAAAATTTAAAAAAGAAGGGATGCAGACGAGAGAAGTGTGCTCTGAAGACAGCCCTGACCCACATGTGCCCTATAAATTGAAGAATCTACTTTAGTGTGGATGTAGCTAAAGAAGGCATTTGATTAAGGCTGTTGAAGGAGGCAGCAGTGCAACTGAAAGCAGTAACTTAGGCCTTGTTCAAATACTGATAAGAATAGTACTTCTGCCATGCTAAGTGCCAGGCACTGTTTTAAGCACTGTATGTATATTAACTCACTTAATCCTTGTAACAATCCCATGGGATAGGTAATAGTGGTATCCTCGGGAAAGTGACACACAAAGAGGGAAGTCACTTGCCTAATGTCCCACAGCTAGCAAGTGGCAGAGCTGGGCTTCAAACCCAGACAGTCCAGCCCTGGAGTCGGTACTGTTAAACACTATGCAGTTAACTACACTTTTCTCAACAAGAGTAGTAGCAAATTAGCATAAGTGACTCTCTAGAAGCTGTTCAAAATATGTCAGGGAGTTTTTTTATTTTTTTTAATTTTTTGTCAGGGAGTTTTTGACAGGCCCTAACTAGAATACCACAAAATAAGTTACTAAAAATAAAAACAAAAATGTTAACTTTAACGTGCTTTACTGGATATTTAATATTTATTTTATGTATTCACTATGAAGTACTCTTAGTTCAACAGTAAAAATTTTTTTTTAAATAAGAAAATACAAGTACGCGTTTCTAATTTATGTTAGGTTTGAATAGGTTTGATTTACACAAATCCTAAAGTGGCAGGCTATCAAATGCCTGCCACCTCTTGGCAGTAAAAGTGACATCAAAAAGCTACAGTAATGTTCTTACCAAAATAAATAAAAACTTAAGATATAAAAACTACTACTTAAAACTTTTAAACCATAAAACACCATGCCAAAGGTTTTTATCAACCTCTTCTTTTCTAAGCATAACTACCTCTCTTCAGTGGGGGTAGTTTTGTGAATCAGCCAAATTTAATAGAAAGGTGGGAACACGGGTATTCCCCTTCCTCATTAGAAGTTATTTTTTTAGGACTCTCGGTGGCCATATGGTGTTTCAAACACTAATAGGAAACAAATGAGTCAACTTACGAACACAAAAAGCAAACTGTGGTATAAAGAATAAGGACAGGGAGGAAACATTTCAATCAGTCAGATATGACATGATGATACTGTCACAGGCCTTAGTATCTTCTTTAACTCCTAAATAAATTGACCCACCAACAGGAAAAAGGTCACCTGACAGAGAACGCTATGAAATTTTAAGTTGCTAGACTCCTTTCCATCTTCTCCTCCTCATCAGCTCTTGATACTGCTGTCAAATTCTACACACTGGCAAAGAAAAAAGGGGTGAAAGTTGAGGGGGTTTATAGAGAAATAATAAAAAGTCTGTTGTGATTATTTGAATTAAAATATTATAGCCACTGATATCATTTTAAATGCCTAAAACATATGGCCTGTCCTTAAAGAAATGCCCATGTGAACATTAAAACAATCATCATGATACCTGAAGAATGGAATCTATCACATTTTAGCAGAACAGCAACCTTCTCTTCTACCTCCCACCCACCCTAGGAAGCAAACACAATTCATTTTACAAAGTCATTGAGAAAGATGTGCTTGTTCCTTATAACGGCCGTCAATTCGGAGACAATTTAAAGTACAACTACCATCAACTAGGAGTCTCAAACTTACTGAGTATTCACTTATCTCAAAAGCATCCCCACAGACTCACAACATGGGGGCATTCACCTAGAATGGATACACAGGGACCAAGGCAGTGAGAAGGCTAGGCAAAGGGCACCAAGGAGCTTTGCACAAACTGCAGGCTTTCCCCATACTCAGCGATGCCGCCGATATATCAATATATCAGGCAATAACAATGCTTCATAGGCCATGTGCTCTAAAGCCTCTCTAGTAATGGGGACTCATACGCACTGATTTTTTTAAAGTCTTTTAAACTGAAATGTAATTTTTTAAATCTTTTAACTGAAATGTAATTTACACAACATAAAAAAATCACCATTTTAAAACATACATTTCAGTGGTTTTTAGTATATACACCATGCTGTGTAACCATGACCACTAATTCCAGAACACTTCCATCACCCCAAAAAATAAATCCCATACCTATTATCATATGCACTGATTTTACCCAGACTTTCTCCGCAGATCTCTCTGTTGCCCATGAGGGTATTTTAAGATGGCTGGCTGGGGTAAATCTATACAGTGGTTACAGTAAGAAAACAAGAAAGCTACATTGTCCAGAAGGATCCTGAACCCAAATTCTTGGCATTTTTAGCAATTAAGCTAATATAATTTCTATATATTGGCTAAGAATGGCAGAGAAACTTACATTCAACATCCATCTTCAAATAACACATTAGTGTGCCCCAAATTCATCCAAGATGTTAAAAGAAGAGAAGACAATCTACTAGGATTAGCCATAACTGTCCATAGTTGCAATTTCAAAATACAGAAGATGCATATGTGGGAAAACCTCCTTTAGTATCAAGCATAGCTGGATTAAAAAAAACAACAACAACAAAATGAAAAACTTAATTATTAAGCAAACATTGCCCCATTTGGGAAAACAATCCCTAGACCAGTCCATGTTTAAAGTAACGTAGCTTTAAACGCAACCTTACTTTTATCACTCTTTTGACCTAGAGTCTCTCCTCATGAGAACAATAACCTTTAGCACAGGTCTGGCAGGAGAGTCTGCAGATGTGTGGTGCTCAGGCCTTTGCAGGGCTCTCATTACCTAAGTGAGCTCATGGCTTCTAAGACACACAGGAAGGAGACCTCACCTTCAGGCATCAGGGTGTTGAAAGCGGGAAGAAGTAGCTCCACGAGGGTGTCTTGCTTTTGTGCACTTATCTGGGGTGCTATTTCCAGAGAAGGAGCTCCTTTATAGAGTGTGCCCAAGATGGATTTCTAAGTTGCGCTCAGAGGTGTCCAGCTGCCCTCACCAATAAGTCACAGTCTTTGTAGGTTGATAGAAACCACCAGTCAAAGCAGATGCATATGGATTGTGGGGAAGCCTTCTTTAGTATCTAACATAGCTGGATTAAAACAAAAAAACTTAACCATTAAGCAAATCTTCACTTTAACCATTAATTTAGATTATAGCAAATATCAACTAGGTGCTAAGCTTGAGTCTACGCTTAGCACGGGCACTTAAGACTTACTATTGGGGATTTTGTGGACTTGATTAAAGGCTACAATGAACTTTCAATTTTTGTCCTGCAAGAAATTAGTCCTACTTGATAAACAAGTAAACCAGATCCAGAAATTACCAATGGTTATTGGTAATTTAACTCATCCTGGCTGAGGTTTCTAAGCAACGCTTCCAATGACCTCTGTTGTGCAACAAGTTGTACTGTAGTAATGTACTTACAGTTTTATTGCAATATGCAATAACAATTTAAATACATGTTTGTTTCCTGGATTTTCCAAAACACAATCAGATCAATCAAGTGAAGTTCACAATATTTATATAATGTACAAACTAACAAATTCACCTCAAAATAGTTATCTATAGAAGTACTACTACATTTCCTTTGTTTAAAGATGCCCAGGAAACAGTCCTAAATTAAAATGACTCCTGACTAGATGAGGCTATAAAGCATTTATCCTCTGTCTGCCTATAAGAAATCACCCAGTGACGAGGAAACTCCAAGAAATCTTCACTAAACTAGAATTTCATTTTGGTTTAACATAAGGGAAGTAAGAAGTCAAAGAATCAATGGCAGGTGAAGGAATCCAAAAACGGCTTAATGTCTTTGAGGCTTACATCCTCTCATAGGGTCAAAATAATGAAGTCAGAAACCTGGGTATTTTACAGGTTTTTTTGGTGACCTTTCAACCATACACTTTTAATAATGTAATTGCTGTACAGCAAAAAGCCCAAAGTTAATTAAATTTGTAGATACATTTTGGAACTTAATTGCTCCAAAATTTCCCATTCTTAAATCTGTTTACACAAAATTCTTCTAATATATAATATGGACTTGTTCTGAATAAAGCTGCATTAAATCTAGACTTTTTCAAATAGAAAGAGAAATTACCTAGCAAGAGGTCACACAGTTCTTGCATTAGAAGAGTACTGATACATGCATATCATCATTTTACTGAGTGCTAATCAAATCTCTGGAGCTGTACAACAGAGGAAACTCTGATATAACTGTTTCTAAAAGGGCTGGATTCCTCAGGTCTAGAACAAGTGCCTGCTATACCAATTTACTGAAAGGATCACTTCAAAGTTTCCCTTAAAGCAAAATTATTCAAGAGTTTAGAAAAAAATACCAACAAAATAATTATCCTTCAAACTATGTTATGAATAATCCTCTTGGTTTAGGAAAACAAGGGCTCAAACTCTAGGACTTCAGTTGTGGGACAAGAATAAAGGGCAAGGAGGCACTGTCTGCCATTATGATGACTGGAACTCAATTTTAATGCAAATTTTTTCTGGATTATGCAAAGATTACTACATGTCACATAATAGTATCAGGCACAAAAAATACACAAAATTAATGTAATTAACTGTCGATTGCCATACTGTGACAGCTGCGTGTTGCTATGATGCTGAAAGCTATGCCAACGGTTTCTCAAATACCAGCAGGGTCACCACGGTGTACAGGTTTCAGGGGAGCTTCCAGACTGAGAGAGAATAGCAGTAAGGACCTGGCCACCCAAAAACACTGGCCATGAAAACCCCGTGAATAGCAGCGGAGCAGTGTCTGACACAGCACCGGAAGGTGAGAGGCTGGTGCAAAAAGACAGTAGGGTTCAGCTCTGCTGTCCACAGGCTCACTAAGAGTTGGAACTGACCCCACAGCATTAACACCACCACCACCATAATTAACCAATAAGAAAATTTTAAAGGGTAAAAAATTTGACAGGCAAAAAAATACAAACATTCAAAACACAAGAGGTCTGTATCTGTATTCAACAATGGGATCAATACAATAGAAAAGACCATATTTAGACTGGAACAACTTCTGGAAATTCATGCTGCAAGGAAGAAGAAAAACTGCGGGGCAGCTCAACATTTTCTAGCAAATCAAAATAAAAATGTTCCTGCCTCCTAACCCCCAAGGGCAACAACAAACGGGTTCACCTTAAAAAAAAAAGAAAAAAAATTAGAGCCAACAAGTGTACTGCTGCCATCACCTACGTCCTCCTGCTCCTCAGACCTGGGATGACAAGGGACTGAAGTTTTCCAACTCATCACAGCTTCTGCATGCCCATAAATATACCAAAGAAGACAAGTGACCTCTGATTTTTAGAGGCAAAACATAAATATAAACATAAACACACACACACAATGAACACATAACATAGAGATGGGAACACCTACAACCTCCAAGCACCCAGTCAAGCTTGGGCGATTCATCCACTGTTGAGTTACTAAGTCCCCTCAAGAGCTGAGACTGAGTACTCTGCACTTATCCCACAAGGAATGGAAAGACAGGTTTTAAACAAATGAGCATCAGGAGGACAAAGACTCAGAAATTAACATTTACACAGCTGCTGACTTGTTTCATCTGTCAATTCCGAAAGGATCAGAAAGCCTTTCTAGTCCAGATTCCATAGTACACGCAATGACAACACAACATAGAAACAGAGGTTTCTGTTTCTCACATCACTCACTATTACTATGTTATAGGTATTTTACTAAAAAAACGTAATCCGAGCAACCAGGGATTATAAAGAAGCTCCAATTAGGTGAAGTCTGCAAATTTCCAAATCAAGACCATACTGTTGCTTGACCGCACCATTCAACTGACCAGTAGTCTCTGAGGTAAGACCACCTCACCAAAACCAACGGAAGGATTCCAGAAAGAACCCCAGGAAGAAAGGACCAGCACAGCAACGGCCACATTAGAAAAGCTGTGGTTAACATGAGTCAGACTGTAGCCAAGAAAAAGCTTCAAACGATCTCAACCAATAGCAGGGAATCTGAGAAAGAAACCAATACACTTCCTAAAACCGATGTTCCCCAATCCCAGGACAGCTTCCCGATGGGTCCTACTGCCGTGAGGGACAAACAAGCGCTCCTCCCGTCCACTCTGAGATCTTTCTACTCCCAGACGCTTCCTGTTCTCGGTTCACCTGGTGGCATTCCTGTGTGGATGGATCTTAAGGGTGGTTCAACCCCCAGGTTCCCAATCTCCAGCAAGCCTGAGCTACACCTGGGGGTCCATCTAAGTGTGCACATCAATCGGGAGCCCAGGGGAACGAGGGGCGCTCAAAGAGCTTCAGGGAAAATGGAAACCGACATTTGGCTCACTTAACAGGAGGGCCCGACTCTTTTCATCTTTCTTTCTCCCAAAGCACCTTGCACCAGGTACTTGCTTAATGTGCCTTGAAAGGAAATAAAAAGACGACGGAGACCTACACTTAGGTTTTCCATCTTCCTGGACTCTGGTACTGTCAGCATTTGGGGCTCCCTGATGCCACATTTGGGTTGGGCCTGAGGTCATGCTCGGACCCCATCACCCTCGGGGTCCGGACTCGGGCTGCGTTATCTGTTTAAGTGAATAAAGCATGAGTGGCCTCGGTGGACAACATAGGCCCTTAGAGACAAAAGGCCTCCTGTGCGCAGGACGTGGGTCGCCTGACAGGACTTCACGCTAATGGTCATTCATAGGCCTTTCGAGGGCTGGCCCTAAGGAACTCAGCCTGGTAGTGTCTTGCACTTCTTATCGCCCCGCGAGTGCTTGGTCCTGTGGTTTTACGGTCTGAGGAACAGTTAGGCCTCGAAGGCCTGGCTAAGATGTGTGCACTCCGCACCCCGAGCTCCCGCCTTCCCCACTCAGTGGCGGGGCCCGAGTTTCCCGCCCCACGGCCCGACCAGAGGTTGGTGGCAGTTGGAGGCAGTTGGGACCGGCCCCAGCAGGTTGGAACCGGTCTGGGCCGGGCCGGAGGAGGAAGGGGGGAGGGAGAGGCCGCCTCGCGCTCTCCCTGCGCGCGTGACTCACGCTGGCCGCTGACGTCAGGCGTGCGCGCGCGGCGGGGGGGGCTCTACGTACGTGTAGTGCTGCGGTTTCTCGGGCTGTGCCTGCAGCACCTGAGCGGTAGCGGCCGGGGGCGCCGAGGAAGCTGCGGAGCCGCCGGGCCCGGGGCCCTTCGACATGGTCCTGTCTTCCTGCCTCTTCGCCGCTCCCCTTTTATTATTCAGTCTGCGCGGTCCGCGCCGAGGACCCAGTGCGCCTGCGCCGCGCCACGAGAACGTGAAGACCCCCCACACGGCAGCAAGGGTTGCTGGGAGTTGTGGTCCTAGGTTCCGCTGAAATTTTACCGTCGGCAGAGGGTTGCTGCCAAAGGGACGGACCACAGTACCCAGGGATCTTTGCAGACGGTGTCCCGGATGCTGGTGGCCCGCGATGGCTTCTGGGGATTGCAGTCCAGCCGCGTTTCTCGTCCCCACCAGCGTGCTTCCAGGTTCGTAGAGGAGCTTTTCCTTGAAACTGGAGCCCTTGGAGTAGAAGGGGCCCAGAGCTAGAGAGCGCTTAAGGACTTCTGTGAAACAGTTCCAAGTGTAATTTCACTGCCAACAGTGTAATAATTAACCTCGCTTCCGTACTTAGTGCAGTTTGGGCTTGGTTCTGATACCAGCCCAGAGCAGTGCTTAAGAACCTGTATCGCCCGTTCTTAGCTCTGGGTCTTTGTGCCGCGGGTACCTGGAGTCCGCGAACAGCCCCCTCATTCCTGCAGCCGGACTAACCGGAGAGGCAAGAAAGAAAAGTCTGCCTGCCGGAAGTCAGCTTGATAAAGCTTTGCTAAAGAAGAGCTGCATGATCCTCTATTCCCGCGCCTTTAGTGAAGCGCTACATAAACATTTACCAACCCTGAAACCTGAAATTCCACGACTTGGGTCCCTTCTCAATTCAACAGCTGGCCAGACCAACTTGTTTCCAGTACATTAGGGGCCAAGGGCGAATTTAATCTCCGTCTAGAATAGTCTCAGGTACACTGGCAAGTTGTAGGGGTGTTGGGAAGCATCACATTGTGTCCAGAGGAAGGGCCTGGGTTTGAGTAGGGGGTGCGATTTATAATCCACTCCAGTTTACTGCTCTGGACGGCAGCTTTCCTATTTGGGAAAATATGTCTCCTCTTCCCGCCAGTCGGACAAAGTTGCTCACTTTTCGGTCTTTGTCAGATAAGCCAGTTCCCCCAGACCTAGGTATTTGGTCTTTTTTATATTTTTATATATTTTTTTAAAGATTGGCACCTGAGCTAACATCTGTTGCCAGTCTTCTTTTTCTTCTTTTTTTTTTTTCAAAAGATTTTACTTTTCCTTTTTCTCCCTAAAGCCCCTGGCTACATAGTTGTGTATATATAAAATATATACATACATAAAATATATATATATTTTAGTTGTAGGTCCTTCTGGCTGTGGCATGTGGGATGCCACCGCAGCACGGCCTGACGAGCGGTGCCATGTCCGCGCCCGGGATACAAACGGGCAAAACCCCGGCTGAAGCGGAGCGCGGGAACTTAACCACTGGACCACAGGGCCGACCTGACCTAGGCATTTGATTGTGAGCTTTTACAAAGTTCTTCACAGATATTTTAATGCTTGTCACTTAACTTTGTTTTCCATTTTGAATCTGCTTAAATCCATTGTTTTTAAGACTATTTTATTAGCTAGGATTATGTTAACTAATGATCATCTCATTAAAGAAACCCCGGAGAACCTTAGGGGGGTGTGTGTGGCGGGGAGGTGAATGGAAAATTGTTCGTTTGTAAGAATGAGAGATACTTATTTTATTTGGTTCCAGGTAGCCTCACATCAACAGCCAAATTTTCAGCCTATGAAGTTGAGAAACTGGTATTTCGTTTTTTAATTTAATTTAATTTAATGTTTTGAGGAAGATTAGCCCTGAGCTAACATCTGCTGTCAATCCTCCTCTTTTTGCTGGGGAAGACTGGCCCTGAGCTAACATCCGTGCCCATCTTCCTCTACTTTATATGTGAGATGCCTACCACAGCATGGCTTGCTGAGCAGTGCCATGTCCGCACCCGAGATCCGAACCAGGGAACCCTGGGCCGCTGAAGTGGAGTGTGTGTGCTTAACCGCTGTGCCACCAGGCTGACCCCTAGAAACTGGTATTTCTTCAATTGCCAAATCGATTGTTTAACCACTGGGGGGGTTTGAAGATGAAAAATTCCAAAAGGACAAATAAAAGGTTTAGTGTATTACTTTAATCCTATTATTAGATGCTAGTAATTGGTTTATATGTTATCCCAAAAATACCCGAGTGTGATTTGAATGCAGAAAATTAGCTCGTAGTGCTAGATTTTAAATGAATAGATATCATCAGTTTCAGAATAACTGTGTACTGGTAGAATTGGGAGATGATATCATCCAAACTGCTTAAATTACAAAAGAGGAAACAGGAACTCAGAGAGGTTAAGTAATTTGCACAGAGTTACTCAGCAAATTGGTGACAGAACAGGAACCAGGACAGTAGCCTAAGTGCTGCCTTCCATTCTGCATTGTTTTGGTTGTATAAACATTTTCAGTTGTTCCCCATTTCCTTCATTGCTTTTCCTCCCCTGCACCAACTTAGGAAAAAGAAAAACATGTCTGTATGACTGCCAAGTAAGAGGGACAAACTATTTCCCCTCATCATCCTTAATTGGATGAATGTAAATCCATACCTCATTTCTCCTGGAGCAGCTTTAGATCCTCTCTAATAATCAGCAGAACTGTAAGGACACTAACTGGACTATGTCCCCTCTAGAAGGTGTGGGACAAACAGGGTTCGGGATCTGGGAAAACCTTGGAACACAAAGAGGGTGTTAACTTAGCAACCTGTTCCTTTTCCAGGCCATTTGAGCAGTCAAAAAAGATGACGGTATTTTTCTGGTTACATCCCAGAACACATGACGGCCTCCTATGCGGGATCTAGCTGGTGCCCAGTTTCTCAGCTTTAAACGGGTTTTGTCAACAGGGCAGGAGCCTCCATCTTGGTGTCTCTTGTCAGCATGGCATGAATGAAATAGCTTAATTTTTCCTCTACCCTAGACTTTGAGTAGAAGGCAGAAAGTGAAGTTGATGAAATTATCACATAAAAGTTTAGATGTATGATAATTGATAATTAAATACATATTGTATGTGTGGTGATTGAGAGGGCTGAAGCAATGAGAGGAATTTGGTACCAGAGATTGGCCCAAAGATATTTTTGCCATAGCTCCTTTTTCAAATTGTGCCTTTTTTTTCTTACTATGGATACTGAGAGGGGACCTTTGGTGTCGCCAATAAATTTTTGAGGTATTTGTATTAATGTACAATAATTCTCTGAGTTAAAATCTATATGAATCTGGTTTCACTACTTTTTATTTTAATAATTTAAAATATTCAGTGATCCCAGAGTAAGAACTATGGAGTACAATGCCCAAGGCTCTATTTCAATTTTCTGAGCTTTGTTTGGCTGGTCTTAACCTTAAGCCTGCCTTGGTATTTTATATACCTGAGTCATCTGGAGAACTGAATATTGCAGTCCATCCAAGACATTTATTTAGGCAAATGTAGGGATTACCATTTTTATACATTTGTCATGTTTCTTAAGAAGAAGTAATACTTTTCAGGATATACCATTAAACACAAAGGCATATATTTGGTTGTCTTTTGTTTACTCTTTATGGACATGCAAATGCTGTGGTAGGACTATTCCCATTCTAGCTGTAGTCATTTCTTTTCTTTTCTTTTTCTTTTTGGTGAGGAAGATTGGCCCTGAGGTAACATCTGTGCCAATCTTCCTCTATTTTGTACATGGGATACCACCACAGCATGGCTTGATGAGTGGTGCGTAGGTCCGCTCCCAGGACCTGAACCTGCAAACCCTGGGCCACCAAAGCGGAGTGTGCAAACTTAACCACTACACCACAGGGCCAGCCCCATCTGTAGTCATTTCATTCAGTTGAATTACATAATTCAAAAATATGTTGCTTAGTAAGTTACTTCTTGTTTAAGCGTATTGAAATCACAAAGTATTTTGTGACAGCCTAAGAACATACAAAACAGTACCTATAAAATCATTTATTGACATTTGTTTCTTTGGATCTATTATTTACCCCTCCCCATCCCGCCAAACAAAAGAACTGCTTCTTGGTTAAAATGTCTATGTGTGATATATAAAATACTTGGTAATACAACATGATTTACTGAATTCTAATTCTCTTTTACACTACGTACTTAACTATCAAAATGTCAATGAAAAGTAAATGATCACAGGGAACACATTGTATTTTACTTTGCAAAATATTTACAGAAATTTCGTGACCCCTCTCGCATTACATTAGCTTGAGGCATTTAAGGTTAGGCTCCTGCCCGTCCGGACTCTTAAGTCCTCATAGGGACCAATGCAATTCATTTGCATTGACTTTCTATTGTAGAGCTTTGGAACCAAGGGAAGGATCCAAACATAGCTCCATTTTATCCAATCAGAAGAGCTGCTTAGTGTTAAGCTCTGATTCGTCCATTCCTCTTTGCATTCATCCAATCATCAGGCCACTTTAACAGCCAATCAGCGGCCTAGGTATCCACCAATCAGGGAAAGGGTCCCAAGCACGGCCTTTGTGTCGGGGGATGTCAGCGCGTTGGCGAAAGCGCCCGCCAATAGAAAAAGTCGTTGGTGTATGCAAATGAGGGCCCTATGACGCACAGACGCAGCGTGAAGCGTGGGTATAAAAACGGAGGCACTGGGGGGGTTTTGAGCGCAGAGCGGTTTGGTCGTTCGTTGGTGGAAGTTGTTTTTGTTTCTTGGCCACTGCGGCGTTTCACTGAGCGGTAGAAGCGGTGTGGTGGTCGTGGGAGCGGTCTGAGACTTCGGCATTGGGTAAGCGTTTTTGGATTTATCCGTGACTTGAGGTCTCGCCAGGCGTTGATGCCGCGAGCCGTGGCCGTTGGGAGCCGAGTTGCCGGCTGGTACGGGCTGCTGGGGTCGCTGGCGTCGGGCGTGGGACCGGGAGGTTTTTCCCTTGGGGCTTCGTTGCGGAACCACGTCGCCGCCTCTTCCCCGGCGGTGATTCAGACGTCCCGGGTTCCGGGCAGCCGGGCCTCCGCCCGTCGAGGAGGGGAAGTGACTCCTCCCCGCGCCCCCCCTCCCGGGGGAGGCTGCAGCTCCTCGCCGCCTGAGTCATTAGGGGAGGGGGAGGAGGCGGCGGCTCTCGGCCATCTGCCGCCGCGAGGTGGGGTGCGAAGGGGCGGGAGGGCAGGGGCGCCGAGCCCGGCCCGCCCTCGGGGTGCGAGCGCCGCGGCCCCGGAGTCATGGGTGTCGTCTTTAGGTGATAGAAGATGGCCCGAACCAAGCAGACTGCGCGGAAGTCCACGGGTGGGAAAGCGCCCCGCAAACAGCTGGCCACTAAAGCTGCTCGGAAAAGCGCTCCCTCTACCGGCGGGGTGAAGAAGCCGCATCGCTACAGGTAGGCGGGCGGAGGGAAGCAGCGGCCTGGCGACGCGGGCGTGTCGGGGCCCTGGCTGGCGCAGTCGGCTAACCGGTGTCCCTTCCCACCCTCCTGCTCGCTTCAGGCCCGGCACCGTTGCGCTTCGAGAGATCCGTCGTTACCAGAAGTCGACCGAGCTGCTCATCCGGAAGCTGCCTTTCCAGAGGTTGGTGCGGGAGATCGCCCAGGACTTCAAAACTGACTTGAGGTTTCAGAGTGCGGCCATTGGTGCGCTCCAGGTGAGACGGCGGAGGCGTGGCGGGGCGGAGGGCTGTGTGTGGTTCTCCGCGGAGAGAGTTTAATAGTGTGGGTCTTGTCCTCAACAGGAGGCTAGTGAAGCGTACCTCGTGGGTTTGTTTGAAGATACTAATCTGTGTGCCATCCACGCTAAGAGAGTCACCATCATGCCCAAAGACATCCAGTTGGCTCGCCGGATACGGGGAGAGAGAGCTTAAGTGAAGGCAGTTTTTACGGTGTTTTGTAGTAAATTCTGTAAAATACTTTGGTTTAATTTGTGACTTTTTTTGTAAGAAATTGTTTATAATATGTTGCATTTGTACTTAAGTCATTCCATCTTTCACTCAGGATGAATGCGAAAAGTGACTGTTCACAGACCTCAGTGATGTGGGCACTGTTGCTCAGGAGTGACAAGTTGCTAATATGCAGAAGGGATGGGTGATATTTCTTGCTTCTCATGATGCATGTTCTGTATGTTAATGACTTGTTGGGTAGCTATTAAGGTACTAGAATTGATAAATGTGTACAGGGTCCTTTTGCAATAAAACTGGTTATGACTTGATCCAAGCGTTTAACAATTGGGGCTGTTAAGTCTGACCATACATCACTGTGATAGAATGCGGGCTTTTTCAAGGGTGAAGATACGAGTCTTAACCACAGTGTAACTTACAGTTTCCTAAAAAAAAAAAGTAAACCTGGCAGCTATAGAATACACTATGTGCATTTATAATAGCTATTTTATATATTGTAGTGTCAACATTTTTAAATTAAATGTTTTACATTCACATGTGGTGGGGAGTCTTGTCATTAAGGTGTGTGTAATTTAGAGTCCAGTTGGTTTTCTCCTAACTAGACTGCACTTGTTTTCATAGTAGTAAAATGCTTTGCGCATTGTACCTTGCATAAGTCCTCATTCTACCACATGTTAGCTAACCCTCTAGCTGATAATGCAGACACTAACGGGGGATTTTATTTATAAGGGCTCTAGAATATAATACAAGTTATTTACACCAGCATCATCTGTTACTAATATTCTGGATTAGTTAGTACAGCTTTTCTTTGTGTTGTGATTGGTCTCATAACTAGGTTGAGGTTTTGTCTACCGAGAGGAGACGATACCTAAGTTCTTTTCCTTGTGGAGTTTGTATTATAGTAACCCTTGGAGTGAACTTGCTGTGGGGGAGGGGCAGACAGATCCAGGTTACTGAAACTGCCAGTTGAGATGGGGTGGAGTTAGGTTACATCTGGTATGCAGTCCTGGGAGAACCACATTATAGAGATGGCCTTCTAAGTGGTTTTAAAATTTATCCTATTGAAGTTTTTAGGTCAATTATGTATGTTGACTAAATTTACAAATAAACTTGTTTATCCAAATAAGTCTCAAAAAACTACATTGAATGTGCAAAGCTTTAATACATCCATTGTCTAGGTTCTTTGTATCCTCAAGTTTGGGTTTAGCTTGTTTTCGGTTTTGCTTGGTACACGAAGGAACTTATTTATGAAAACAAAGCACGTAGAGTCCTTTGTAAAAGCGCTGTGATTGCCATATTTGTAGTGTGAGCTTAAGACAAAGTATTAATATGCCCCCCACCTTATTGTCAAGGAAAAAAGTACTTTCGTGTAAGGCGCAATAATAGGCCAAGGGAAGTACTGTAAAATTCTAGGGTTCAGATTTGGGATCTGTTCCATGAACCTGTTTGTGAAGCAGTTTATATCTTTCTATACAGCAAGTTAGTTAAACACAAGCCCATGGGTATAGAACTCATTTTTTCTGTGAAACGAGCTTGACCAGGGATGGCCAGGCGGTAATGCATAGTATGTGAGTGTCAGCAAGATGTGGGTGTGAGAGCCACCAGTTGTTGGATGAAGGCATTCTGTGTATTTGAAGCTAATAGTCTTAGACATTAATACCCTAGAAGCTTTTTTAGTAAGTTTGAATTAGTTTCACATTCAAGGAGCTTAAGTAGAAAAGCAAGCTAGAGTAGGTTTGGGAGTGTTGGTAATAATGAGCCTTACAAGGTACACACTGATAGAACATAATGAACTTGTTTATTGGAACATCCATCATAACCAGCTCTAGAACAATCACCGATCCTGATCATTTTCTCGCGTTGTATTTCTGAAGGACACTGAAATCCTAGACAATGGAATGTGCCGTGCTCTGGAGTGTCTCGCAGTGTCTACACAAGTAGGCAGAGAAACTTAGCTATGGCGATGAGTCAGCTTGAGTTTCTACCTGTGATAACCCAAGTGGGTGACACTTGAACTTTCTCCTCTAGTCTGCAGTTTGATAAAGAAGGTTCTTGGATTCTATTGAGCAGCTTGGAATTTGCTACTTAAATAGTGCAATTTGCACTTCCACACTTTGTTTTTAGCATACTTAAATCAGAAGACAAAAATATTTCTTGGTTCTAGGAAGCCGTGCACCCGGGCTATCCCTGGGGTTAGGTGGCGGAACACAGTCTGTAAGAAGAGCACTCGAAAATTGGAGCTGATGAAGGTATCCTGTGCCCCTCATGGATGAGACAAAAATAAAGTTTTTGAAGTTGAGACTTTCTCACTTTGTTAATGGCTTTCATTTGACTAACATCTTTTTTTCACAAAATTTCCAGTGGGGAACTGTCCTGGAAGCGCTGCTTTCTGACTGAGCTGGGGCTGGGGAGAGAGCACTCAGTAATGAGACAGGCAGACTCATATTATTGTGATGTGTGTCACAGTTTGCTTGGGACAGTGCCAGTTTATGCCTCTTGAACCTGTCTTGATAGTCCCTCTCTTCACTGTTGTCTGTCCCAGTGAGGCCAAACCAAGCCTGGGCTGGGTAAGTTGAGGGTTACAAGGGCCAGAAGTTCTGAACCAAGCCATTGCCCTTGTCCTGGTTTGTGCCCTTGAGAGGGTAGCTGAAGAGCCACGTGTTTGTCAAATTGCTGGCCAAAGGCCAAGTCTCCCCCAGCTGAGGTAGCCCCCAGTGTCTGCCCTCCACATTGGTTTCTTCTCTTATGCAGTTAATGTGTCTTTGAACTCCCTGAGCCCATATTTCTGGGTCTTTAAAATTATTCCTGCTTCGTCCCAGAACTGGTAATATGTGGACTAGATTATTTAAGGAACAAAACACAGAAATTACATCCTACTTACATAATACAAGGTGGTAGAAAACTAGGGAGGCAGGCACTTCAAGCTTATTTCCTGAGATCTGTCCTTTGACAAAAGATTCACTGTGTCAGCCAGAGGGAAGGAGAAAGATGTGGGAGAGGCCAGCAAGGACCACTTTATGTCCCTAGCCAGACCAGCCCACCCTGCTGCTTCGGCCCCAGGCAGGGACCTCTGCTGTACCCTGACGGATGTCTCGGTGTAGGGAAACAGGCTCTGAGTTGATTGGAAACACCCTCCCACTCGTTACTCACTGATTTCCCAGCTTAACAATGTGTCTTCTGGGGTCCCCCTTATCTGGCTCCTTGCAAACACCAGCTGTTGCCTGTTATTGGGTGTCAGAGCTGGGGTCTGTGCAGCAGTTGGAAAGCAGGCCCTTTCTCGTGGGTCACCTTCAGGTAGGGCAGCAGAGGGTGGACACAGTCCTGTCAGGTGTCATTGAATCACAGGACACTTGAGCTTGCCCCTCAGTTGTGCAGAATGGGGCCAGCCTGTGTTTGGGAGCAATAGGGGAGGGCTGGAGTCTCAGGCCTATGGCCAACTTAGCCTGCCACAGAGAACAGTGTGGTGTGTGGTCTTCACCACACCTTTCAGCTGTTGTCTCATTGCAGGTGGTGGAGTCCACTGGACATGAGAGCCTTGAGCTCCCACCATGGGCATCTGGTCCCCATCCCTACCTCCCCAGCCCTTGGGTTGGGAGCATTTCACAGTCACCTCACCAAGTCAATCACAGCCCACTTCCTCAGCCCCACCCCAGGCACTCGTCTAAGACCACACAGCTGAGCTGGCTGCACTTTGCCTGGGCCCCCACAGCCTCTTCCTTCCCTCACCCCAATGGTGGTCCCACCTGCCCACTGTGGGCATTCCTCAGGGATGTCATTAGTCTGGACCACTCCATCCAGTTGGGCCTGGCTTCTGGCCAGCAACTTCAGCACAAACAGCTGGCCTTCCAGCTACCTTCCACAGGGCAAGGCTAGAGGGAGGGAGGGAGGAAGGAAGGAAGAGCCAGGCCCCTGCCCGGGTTGCTATTCTGCAGCACCCCCAGGGAGAAGGCTAAAAGTGCCCTCGGGCCAGGTGGCTGGCCTT